TCGTTGTCGCGACATCCTCTTTAACGGGCAAGTGTGGGCACGCCTCGTGCTGAGCACGGGCCCTGGGTCTTCTGCAGAATTGTGTGATGTGTTCTTTGGACAGGAGGGATCTGTTCGTTCAGGGTCCTCTGGGGATTTAGAAACTGTAAATGCTAAAAAAAGCAGTGGCACATGGCAACCGAAACTAGACATGTAATCCTTCAAAGGGTCATTAGGAAACAAGACCTTTGGTCTTGGCCATCTGAATTTTGTGTCTTGAGCTGTACAGTGTGCATCACTGCTGATGCTGGTGAAATAAAGTCATGTCCAAAATCCATCCTGCAGCCAGTGCTGTGCAAATATGGGCTAAGGCCAAAGGTTTGATTTGGCCTTGATTTTTCTAGTTTTATTTGAGAGGTGAGTTGCATGTTCCAGGTTATTGAGGCAGTTGTAAAAGTATGCATATTCTGGGACCTCTGAAGCGGTTTATGTTATATGAATAGAAAAACTGTTCTTGAACCGCCTTTGGGAAGCAGCCAGTGAAGGGCAAGGATGCAGACTTTAGCAATCTTGTGCTGGAAGGAATCAGTCTTTTCCCAGCCGCTGGTATCTTTTTCTTTCTTTTGCCAACAATATGTAATTTGCTAATACTGATGTAAGATTGTAATTAGAAGACAGATTGCACTACTGTGAGTTGGTTGGATAAGGGCAACACAGGCAGGTGTTGATGTTGCCTCTGCTTCAGTGGCATCAGCGGCATCAGCATCCTCACATTATAAATAATGTGTTTAGCCCACTGTCTTTTTATTGCTTTGACTTTTTTCATCCTGCTGCTGGCTTCCTAATAAAGGGGTATGAGAAAAAGAAAATCCTGTTTTGTTACAGGCTAATAATTAGACAATTGAGTGCAACAAATAAAAGACATGTCATGGTCTGTTGCACTGTCAAAAGGAGTTGCAGCAAATAATACACATGGGAACCATTTCCAAAGGAAAAAGTCACAAGATAATATGTAGTGGAGATCATGAAGTACTACCTCTCCCAGCACCCAGTAAAAAAAATCTCATCTATACCGTCTCATTTTTTTTAAAAAAAAGCCTAGAAATTAGGCAGAAGACAGTTTTCTGCCTTGAGAATTAGTTTTAGTTGTTTTTCTTAACATTTTCTTTCAGGCACTTGCATCCCTTGCTACAGGGCCCAGACAAAATAATAGCATTTTCTATGAAATTCGCACATATGATATTAAGCCATCAAAGATGAAGGAGTTTGTGGAAATTGTCAACAAGTACTTTCACCTTCGCACAGCTCACTCGGAGCTGGTGGGATTCTGGTCTGCGGAGCTGGGAGCAATGAATAAGGTTATCCACGTTTGGAAGTACGGTACGCTCAGCATCCCTTTGCGCTGCTCTGCTCTCTCTGTCCTCCCTACCTCCTAGGGAAGAAGATAGCTTTAAATTAGGGCCAGTTCCTGAACCACAAATGTCTTCAGAATTTCAAAATGGATGGAAAAAAGATTGAGACCTCCTTAATAAGATAATACATATAAGTGCAGACAATCTATATGCAGTCTGTATATGTTTATATGCAGGTATAATTATCAAATTTTAGTTCAGTGTAACAGTTACTTCCCTAAAACAAACGAGCACACAGTTTGCATGCTAAAACTCCTTCTGCAGCTGGACTGTGCTGAGGTGGTGTCCTGGTTTTCAGCTGGGATAGTGTTAATTTTCACAAGAAGCTGGGAGGGGACGCAACCAGGACAGCTGACTCAAACTGGTCAGAGGGGTATTCCATAGCATATGGCGTCATGCTTAATATATAAAGGGGTCTGACCAGGGAGGAGAGGTTGGTGCTCTGGGATGGCATGGGCATCGAGGGTGAGCAAATTTCATTGTGTATTACCCGCTTTGTGTATCCTTTTATAAGTATTGTTGTTGTTATTTCCCTCTTCCTTTGCTGTCCCAACCCACAAGTTTTACCTTTTTCTTCCCATTCTCCTCCCCATCCCACCAGGGGGGAATGAGCAAGCAGCCCTGTGGTGCTCAGCTGCGGCTGGGGCTAAACCACGACGGTCCTTTTTGGCACCCAACGTGGGGCTCGAATGGTTGAGATAACGACAAATCTGACCAGAGCATGTTGAAACAAAGTTGTTACACACATTTATTATAGTAGTTAAATAGTCACTGGTCTCAACAGTGATTTGTTTGTTCACATGGCTGTGTGTATTCCCTGTTTATCACCTCTGGGAGGTGATAAGATTCTCAAGATTCTCATTTTGTTGTACTGTGTGATATCGACTTACGATATGATAACATCACTGGTCATGAGGTTAAGCTGGTATGTGTATGTGGCATTGCTGTCATGCCTGTAGCTCGAAAAATATCTCTCAGGATTTATTAATAATTGCACCCAATCTATGGGGAAGATGGGAGGATACTTTCTGGAAGATGGGAGGATACGTTCTCTCGCTCTTTCACCTCCCCTTTTTCCTTCAGGCTGGTTACAGCAGCTTTTGAGAATTTTAAATATCCTTGGGATTTTCAAGCCAGCATGCTCTTATTGCTATGTCTCCTGAATGTGGACCAGGTCTTGTTTAGGATTACAAAAAATTGTTTTAAGAATACCACCCAGAGATCTGCTCCAAGGCTGGATAGTCACGGATGCCATGGCATGTGGGAGAATATGGGCAGGTACCTAGAGAACTTCTCACCTCCAATGGTTCAGAACTTCACTCCCAAACAACTACAGGAGCCTGATGAAGTGATAGAATATTTGAAAGGCAAATGCTGTGGCTGTTCTAAAGAGACACAACTTACTGCGCTGTGCTGGGTCCTGGCCAACATCTATTAAACACTGCTCATTATTAGGCAGCACCCTTAGTGGGAGGAGAGGAAAAACAGAGCGACAGGCACTGTGACTACTCCAACCCAAGTGACAGGCACTGATACTACTCAAACCCTGGTGACAGGTGCTGTGGCTACTCAGCCCCAGTGATAGTCACTGTAGCTGAACCAGAGAACCAACCTGTGCAGGTATCAGTCACCCCTATACAGAAGAAGAAACACACAAAAAAATCAGTTCAGTTAGTAAGAGATGATGATGAACCAGGAGCATCACGAGAACAGGAGGAAGAGGCAGAACCAGAGGGAATCACCCAATCCCTGTTCCTGAGTGAGCTGCAAGATATGCAAAAGGATTTCAGCCACCATCCAGGTGAGCATATCGTTCCCTGACTGCTCCAATGCTGGGATAACGGGGCCAGTAGCCTGGAATTAGAGAGTAGGAGAGCAAAGCAGCTGGCATCCCTGGATTCCTTGTCTAGGGAAGAGGGCATTGACAAGGCAATTGGGGAAAAGACACAAGCCCTCAGCCTCTAGAGCTGACTTCTGTCAGGCGTGAGGGAAAGGTACCCCTTCAGTGAAGCTGTTGTATGACACCCAGCCAGGCAAGTGAACCACCATGGGGAGAGGTGTCCAGTACCTCAGGGAGTTAGCCATGTGAGAGATGGTTTATTATGACCCAGACAATGCGCCATTACCCACAGATCCTGATGAAGTCCAATGCAGCCGACCCACATAGTGGAAGTTTGTACGGAGCGCACCATTGTTGTACGCCAACTCATTGGCAGTAATGGATTGGAAAGGTGAAGAGGCACCAACAGTGGATGAAGTGGCTGGCCAACTCCAGCAATATGAAGAAAGTCTTTCTTCCTCCCTCATCTCAGCTGTGGAGACACTGGCTCAGAAGTTCCAGCAACTCAAAGAGAAAATACACTATTCCTTACCTGCAGGGACCAGTATCTCAGCTATTAGGAGTAAGCATTCCTCTGCTCAAGAGGGAGTATATAGAGCATACACACCATGAGGCACCCTGTGGTTCTACCTGTGTGACCACAGAGAAGGCATGAGGAAGTAGATGGAAAACCTACCTCAACCCTAGAGGCACAAGTACATGAGTTGCAAGAAAAACTATCACAAAAGGAGATTCTTCCAGGAAAAATGTGGCTCCAGGTTCCAGTGGGGAGTTCCTCAGTCCAAGTGGAAGGCCTGATCTTACTCATGATACTCTTGAAGGGACTTCTAAGTCATTTTTACAAAAAGTGAATAACAAATACAATGAGCAGGATTAGAGGGGCCCTGCCTCCAGCCACGTGGAGGAAAGGGATAACCAGGTTTATTGGGCTGTGTGGATCCAATGGCCTGGCACGTCAGACCCCCAGGAGTATAAGTATTAGTGGACACTGGTGCACAGTGTCCCCTAATGCCATCAAACTATGAAGGGGCAGAACCCATCTGTATTTGTGGAGTGACAGGGGGTCCCAAGAGCTGACTGTACTGGAGGCTGAAGTGAGTCTGACTGGGAATGAATGGCAAATGCCCCCCATTGTGATGGGCCCAGAGATTCCATGCATCCTGGGCATAGACTGCCTCCAGAGAGGGTATTTCAAGGACCCAAAAGGGTACTGGTGAGTTTTTGGCATAGCTGCCTTCGAGTCGGAGGAAATTGAACAGTTGTCTACTTTGCCTGGTCTCTCGGAGGACCCTTCTGTTGTGGGGTTGCTGAAGGTTGAAGAACAGCAGGTGCCAGTTGCTACCACAACAGTGCACCAGCAGCAATACCGCACCAACCGAGACTCCCTGGTTCCCATCCACAAGCTAATTCATCAACTGAAGGGTCAGGGAGTGATCAGCTAAACCCACTCACCCTTTGACAGTCCCATATGGCCAGTGCGGAAGTCCAGTGGAGAGTGGAGGCTGACGGTAGGCTATTGTGGCCTGAGTGAAGTCATGCTGCTGCTGAGTGCTGCCATGCCGGACATGCTAGAACTTCAATATGAGTTGGAGTCAAAGGCACCCAAGCGGTATGCCACAAATGTGTTTTTCTCGATCCCTTTAGCAGCAGAATGCAGGCCACAGTTTGCTTTCACTTGGAGGGGTGTCCAGTACACCTGGAATCGACTGCCCCAGGGGTGGAAACACAGCCCCACCATTTGCCATTGGCTAATCCAGACTGCACTGGAACAAGGTGAAGCTCCAGAGCACCTGCAATACATTGATGACATCATTGCATGGGGCAGCACAGCAGAGGAAGTTTAAGTTTCTGAGAAAGGGAAGAAAATATTCCAAATCCTTCTGAAAGCCAGTTTTGCCATAAACTAAAGTAAGGTCAAGGGACCTGCACAGAAGATCCAGATTTTAGGAATAAAATGGCAAGAAGGACATTGTCAGTTCCCAATGGATGTGATCAACAAAATAACAGCCATGTCTCCACCAACAAACACAGGCTTTCTTAGGCATTGTGGGTTTTTGGAGGATGCGTATGCCAGATTACACTGTGACTGAAGCCCTCTCTATCAGGTGACCTGGAAGAACGATTTCAAATGGGGCCCTGAGCAATGACAAGACTTTGTACAAATTAAACAGGAAACAGTTCACACAGTAGCCCTTGGGCCAGTGTGGGCAGGACCAGATGTTAAAAATGTGGTCTACACCGCAGCCGTGGAGAATGGCCCTACCTGGCATCTCTGGCAGAAAACACCAGGGGAGACTCGAGGTCAACCCCTGGGGTTTTGGAGTCGGGGTACAGAGGGTCCGAGGCCCGCTACGCTCCATCTGAAAAAGAGATATTGGCAGCCTATGAAGGAGTTCGAGCTGCTTCGGAAGTGATTGGCACTGAAGCACAGCTCTTCTTGGCACCCTGACTGCCAGTGCTGGGTTGGATGTTCAAAGGGAGGGTCCCCTCTACACACCAAGCAACTGATGCCACGTGGAGTAAGTGGGTCGCACTGATCACACAGCAGGCTTGAATAGGAAACCCCAGTGACCCAGGAATTCTGAAGTGAACGTGGACTGGCCAGAAGGCAAAGATTTCAGAAAGTCACCGAAGGAGGAGGTGACGTGTGGAAGAAATTCCACCATACAATAAACTGCCAGAAAATGAGAAGCAATATGCCCTGTTCATGGATGGGTCCTGTAGCATTGTGAGGAAGCATCAGAGGTGGAAGGCTGCTGTATGGAGTCCTACACAACGAGTTGCAGAAGCTGCTGAAGGAGAAGTTGAATCAAGCCAGGTGAAAGCCATCCAGCTGGCTTTACACATGTCGTATCGAGAAAAGTGGCCAGTGCTCTGACTGATGGGTGGTGAATGCCCTGTGGGGGTGGTTACGGCAATGGCAGCAGGGCAACTGGCACTGTAGAGGCAAACCCATCTGGGCTACTTCACTGTGGCAAGACACTGCTGCCCAGCTAGAGAAGCTGGTTGTAAAAGTACCTCATGTAGATGCCCACGTACCCAGGAGTTGAGCCACTGAGGAACATCAAAACAACCAGCAGTGCGTCAGACTGCTAAGATTGAAGTGGCTCTGATGGATCTGGACTGGCAACATAAGAGTGAATTATTTACAGCTCATTGGGCCCATGATACCTCAGGCCATCAAGGATGAGATGCGACGTATAGATGGGCTTGTGATTGGGGTGGACTTGACCATGGATGCTATCCACAGGTCATCCATGAACGTGAAACATTGTGCAGCGATTAAACAAGCCAAGCGGTTAAAGGCTCTCTGGTGTGGAGGACGATGGCTGAAACATCCATATAGAGAAGCCTGGCAGATTGATGACATCCCACTCCCACAAACCTGCCACGGCAAGCGCAATGTACTTACAAGGGTGGAAGCAACCACCAGGTGGTTGGAAACATATCCTGTGCCCCATGCCGCCACCTGGAACACTATGCTGAATCATGAAAAGCAAGTCCTGTGGAGACATGGCACCCCAGAAACAATTGAGTCAGACAACAGGACTCATTTCCAAAGCAACCTCACAGACAGCTGGGCCAAAGAGCATGGCATTGCGTGGGTGTGTCACATCCCCTGTCGTGCACCAGCCCCCGGGAAAATGGAATGATACAATGGACTGTTAAAGACTGCACTGAGAGCAATGGATGGTGGGACGCTCAAACATTGGGATACACATTTAGCAAAGGCCTCCCAGTTAGTCAACAGTAGGGCGTCTACCAGCGGAGCTGGCTCTGCCCACTCAAAACTTCCACATACTGTAGAAGGGGATAAAGTCCCCATAGTGCATGTGAAGACCATGTTGGGGAAGACGGTCTGGGTTAGCCCTGCTTCGGGCAAAGGCAAACCCATCTGTGGGATTGCTTTTGCTCAGGGACCTGGGTGCACGCGGGGGTGATGCAGAAGGATGGGTAAGTCTGATGTGTGCCTCAAGGGGATCTGATTTTGGGTGAGAATAGCCAATAAATTAAATTCTGTGATGTTAATTGCTAAATAACCCTGTCGTATGTTATCATTGCTACAATTGCTATAGGCTGTGTCAATGATATTAGAGTAAGGGTGACCCAAATGAATGAAGGATGAACTTGGATGAAACCGAGTGAAGTGCCACGATGATGGAACTAGAACTGGCCTCTGCAACTGGCACCCAGCAACTTCCTTGAAATCAAAACCTTCAACCTGCAGACGGCGAGCATGGGCCATGCCAGATACACCAGCGGCGAGCTCCGGATGCAGCATTCAACAGTCCCACAGCACACACCGTCGCTCCCACCCTGAGAGACTGTTATGACAGATGGAGCCCAAAGTCATGGATGAAATGAACTCAATGGACATTTTAGAGGGATGGCCCATAGGCCAAGGGAATGATATCGAAGACAAGCAGAGTGGTTGGGAAGTGTACGATCTGGGTATGATGTAGATAGTATAGAATAAGGGGTGGATAACATCCTAGGTTTTGGCTAGGATAGAGTTAATTTTCACAAAAAGCTGGGAGGGGACACAGCCAGGGCAGCTGACCCAAACTAGCCAAAGGAATATTCCATACTATGCTCTGGATATAAAGGGGTCTGGCTGGGGAGGAGGGATAGTTGCTTGGGGACGGGCTAGGCATCAGGCTTCGGGGGTGAGCGAATTTCATTGTGTATCACCCGCCTTGTATATTCTTTTTGTAAGTACTGCTGTTGTTATTTCCCTCTTCCTTTGCTGTCCCAGTAAACTGTCCTTATCCCTACCCATGAGTTTTACCTTTTTCTTCTGATCCTGTTCCCCATCCCACCGGGGCAAGGAGGGGTGTGAGCAAGCAGCCGCGGGCTGCTCTGCTGCTGGCTGGGGCTGAATCACGACAAGGTGGGCAGCCACTCCATCACCCCAACTTCCCATGCACACGAAGCATTTTGTTGCTGCTTCAGCCTTGCCTTCCTGCAGTACAATCAACTTTTTATGTTGGAGTCAGTGCTGACCAGGAAGATGCTGGTGAGCCCAGAAAAGCTATGATTATGCAAGAAACTAAGTGTGCTGGCTGTGCTTTTCATGGAGCTCAAGGGAACTTCATGTGGAGGGTTGTGGAGAGGTGGGAAGGCACACTGGTATCATTTCTTTGTATACGTGCTGCAGTCCAGGGTATATGTGTATGCTGAGACAGAATTTTTTTTCTGAAGTTCTCAGTTTGCTCGCTGAAATCCAGCGTGTTCTCAGTACTTGTTTAGAATAAAGAGTCACCTCTTCTGTCCTGGAGGGGACCAGCCACCTGTCAACAGGAATATTACATTTTTACGTGTATCTATGGTTAATAAATTATCCTGCTTCTCAGAACTTTTTAGCCTTGTTCTTTCTCTAATAATAAAAAACCCCAAAACACATTTTTAATAATCCATGAGAAACTTTTAAAATGGTAAAACTAAGGAAAAACCTACAATTTTTATTTGTTTCCTAATGGTATTTACATGTGTAAGGTACAACATCCTTTCTCCCTGATTCATCAGACCCCTGCTTATATCTTTTCAGTAGGTAAAAATAATTGGCATATTTTTCTTTTGGTCCCAAGATAGTGATATTTCTCAAGGATCTTCCCATTCTTAGATGCTGGATTTTTCTCTTGTGTTATTGAAAGCTGTCTGTATAAAAACATACTGCTTAAGATGCCACTGCAGCCTAACCAATTGAAATTCAGACACTCTTAGTTCAGTGGATTTGGTTTTAATAAAAAAAAAAAGGTTTAGGTTTTGGGTATATAATAGCTTTTTATGTAGCTGAACAAACAAACATCACTTCTATGCTTGTAATTTTAATGTCATTTTGTATAAGCCAAAACTCATGTTTTTTCTTATTTTTCTCTTGGTAGGCTAATATTCTGTCTGAATTTTATTTTCCACTTCACTTTCTTTTCCACTGCGCTTTCTCTGAATCTCCTTATCCTTAGTAACTGTTGCCACATCCAGTCATCCCTGTGGATGCCGTATATTAAGGTTTCTTAACATTGCTTAGTGTATTTTAACTTTTTTATAATCTGTCTTGGAAAATTTGGTTTGGCTTGAAACCATTTAAATCTGAACTAAAGCAAAGATTTTTGCAGAATTTAAAGGAAACTTACCACATCTGCGTTAAGCTAATATGCTGTTTAAAAATATCAATTTCAAACTTATGGAAGTGCAGCTTGCTTCCTTGTAATTATAAATTTTTGATTCTGTCTGATGTGACATTAAGAGCATTTTTTTCATACTTTGTTTTTTGTTTTTCCTTTCTAACAGATAATTTTGCCCACAGAACAGCAGTCCGGCATGCACTAGCCAATGACAAAGACTGGCAGGGAAAATTCATCTCTGCAGCTCTCCCCTTGATAGAAAAACAGCACAATGAGGTTGCTTATCTGGTACCCTGGTGTCAACTTGGGAAGCCTCCAAAAGAAGGGGGTGAGCTTATCTTCTCTTTTTTCTGATTAATGTTACTGATGCTGATGGACTAACCAAAAAAATGGCTTAAAGTTTAAACTAGGTATTACATGGTTTTATAACCCTTTATGTAACAAGTGCATGCACATACAGCCATGTGAAAAAGGTGACATAACGCAGATGAGGGACAAAGTTTTTAAAAAGGATTTTACACTAACTTACATCAGTAACTGACTAGAGCCCTGATCGTTAAGGTTGTAAAGAGGTGTGTGAATTGCCCAAATGAAGTAGCAGTGGTCAGAGCAGTCATCCCGGTCTTGCTTTGCCCCATCTATCAGTGAGAAGGCATTTCCTGGAGGTGCTAAAGACAAGGATTGTTCTCTTTCACAGAGGTTTTTCTCCTTTATCAATTTGCTTTGATGTTATCACTTCATTCGCCTAATAGTTTTAAGAAAAAACAAAAATAATCGGTACTTTTTAAAGATAATACAAGTCAAGTATACTTTGTAACAATTGTAAATTAGGTATTGATGTCCTGTCCTGATGTATTTTAATTCTCTCTGTAGCAAATGTGTTATCAACAGTGTTGACCGTTCCACAATTCATGAACATTTGCAGATGTTGTTGCATGGAGTGACATCACAGAGGCCTTGCTTTAGCCCTCAGCATGTGCATGCATACAGTAATCTTTGTTCTTTATTTCCCTGTGATTCTGAATTTTATGCTGTTACAATTGAATTTGAAAGCAGTCCAGTTTTCTCTTAAAACTGGAGCACTGACTTTTCAAACACTTTGTTTCCATGTTAGTTTATCTCCAGCCCATTGCTAGAGAATGAGACCAGATGTACATTGTCATATGGCAAGTATCTAGCTTTCTATTAAAGTGTCAGCAATTGTGATCTAGAGTAACTACCTGAGCGGAAAGGAAGGAGATAACGTGTCTTGTAGCAGGACTGGAGTTTTTTGGCAAATTGTGCCATTTATCTACAAATAAGGGAGACTGGCAGAGCAGAGATGCTAAGCGAGTCCTAGTCTGTTGGTTAGGTCTTCAGATCTTGCTGTGACTAATTGCCAGGAGTCAAAGGGGTTTATAATGTCATAAACCACTTCAATGCCAGAAAGCATTGCCAGTTTTAGAAAAGGCCATCTTGCATTGTTCAATCAGCCATCCAAACCCCGCAAACATGTATGACTATTTGTGATTTCTGCAAAGTAGTCTGACTCTCCTCAAATTTCCAGGCAACACTGAAAATTGCTAAATTGAGCTTTGTGTGAAGCCTTGTGTTCCTCAGGGTCTTGGTACTTACATTTGCACTTGAACAAGCTCCAGTTAGCAAGTGCTTTTGTGAGTCCCTGTGACATACTGTGCACACTGGGGCAATGGGGCAGTTTCACGTCCTGCTGACCCCAGATGGCAGGGAATTGCAGTACTGATCTCACAATAATTATGTCGTGGCCACGGCGCACTGTTTGAGAACCAGCATATTAATTTGTATTTCTTTCCTTGAGGTCACCTTTGCCTTTTCTTTCTGTACTCTTTCCAGGAGTATATGAATGGGTTACTTTTCAGATGAAGCCTGGTGGGCCAGCATTGTGGGGTGAAGCATTTCGAGCTGCAATCAATGCTCACATCAACACAGGCTACACCAAGCTGATCAGTGTTTTCCACACAGAGTATGGATTACTTAACACAGGTGCTACTCAATTTCTGGCACAGACTTTAACATGGGAAGGGGTGGAGAGAGGGGTGCAAGCCCTTGTCCTGGATCAGGATTGGCCAGCTTGATGAAAATGTTGGTGCAGATCACCAAAGTCCTATCAACAGTCCTTGAACCCAGCTTTGTGTATTGGCTTATAGGCTTAAGGCAGGTGCTGGTATCTTAAAAGAATCTCAGATCTGATGATAAAAAGTCAAACCTTTTAAAGGCTCAGCAAAGAATCATGGCACCAGTTACTTGCCTGGAGAATTGTTTCTGCTAACTGCAAGGCATCTAACAGGTGAAGGCAGACTGCTAGGACTTAAGAGTACATGTTGTATTGCAGCATAACAGTATTCAGCTGACTTTATTTGTACTTTCTCAGTCCATGTGATCTGGTGGAATGAGAGCCCAGATCACCGGGCAGCAGGAAGGCACAGTGCCCATGAAGATGCCAGAGTCGTAGCAGCTGGTAAGAAATGATGGATCCAGAGAACTCATTAGCGGTACTTGCATGCATGCCGACAAAAGTATTATTTCTCAGTGGATTACTGTCTTAATTAAATATGCATTTAATTTCAGTGCGGGACAGCGTCAGATTCTTGGAGTCCCAGCAAAATGTGCTCCTGGTTCCTCTGCAATGCTCACCGCTGAAGTAACCTTATTCTAAAGGTTATGTAACTGATAGCAGAAAGGACAGGAAAGAAGTGCTGTCAGCAAGTGCCACGCATGGATCATCATACTCACATGCACTGAGTTGACTGTTCTTCAGTTTACAATAAATGTATGCAAAATGCTGATCACTAGCAATGTACATCTGTAAAACTTTGCACCGATAGCAATTTGTAAACAGAAGTTTATGGTGATGTTCCTACATAACCAGGAAACAGAACTTGACCCGTAGCACTTATGGCATGAACCACACTTCACCTCTCTTTTATTTTAACCCCATAGTTCTTAATGCTTTTCTGCATAGCTAGGTCATTTATCAAACCTACTAAGTTAAGTGCTCTTTTCCAACACTAGAGCTAAGGGCTGTTACAATTTTCGTAACATACGTTGGTGACTCTTGTAACTATCACACCTTGGCTATTGCATACTGATCTAAGAAGGAGTGCCCTCACGTACCTGTTACCCAGTCATGTTTTAATCAGACTTCTCATTGAGATGCTTTGTATTAATTTTGAGTAATGTAAAACATCAGTGTGGCTGGATTTGCCCCTAGGAGGTACTGCAGTGAAGCTGATCAGATGGTGGGTCCCAATAAACGCTGCCACAAGAAGAGCATCTTGTTATAGTTCACGTCAGCCTTTTCCTTTTTTTTGTTCAGTAAACACTTCCTCAAAATTGTGTATTACACACCTAATGCTTTGCCTTAGGTATTTCAATATTTGAAATTGATTAGCCCTTCTTGTTCAGTGGTATAGTCAAACTCAGCTGACCTACACATGCTCACATTCATAGAATCATAGACTCATAAAATGGTT